AGTGGGCTCAACAACAACAACAACAACAACAACAAGAAGCCTTTATCCCATTAAGTGGGGTCGGGTACATGATTCTTTTTTCTCCAATGTGTCCTATTGAGTGTCAAATTTTCATTTAATTCTAATAAATTAAGATCATTTTTTATACAATATGCCCAAGTCTATCTAGGTCTACCTCTGTATTTCTTAACATAAGTCGAATCTAAAACGTCTACCCTCCTAATCAAATCATAATTTTAAAGTATGAAACATCAAATTAATTCCTCTATAATTTGCACACCATTGCGCATTCCCTTTATTCTTTAAAATGGGATTAAAATACTATTCTTTCACTCCTCAGACACCTTTTTGGTTTTTAAAATAATATTAAAGAGTTTAGCAGGCCAAGAAACTCCAAAATTTACTGTATATTTCCACACTTCAATTGGGATGTCACTAGATCCTACAGACTTTTCATCCTTAGTTTTTTTTAAAGCCTCCTCAACTTCTTTTTACTAATGCGGCGGTAAAAATAAAATATTTTATTATTATTAGTGATATGAAAACCACTAAAGTTGATCATATTTTCATAAACATCATTAAAATGTTCATCAAAAGAACTAACCAACATATGTTGAATATTTTTTCCATGAAGGTGACTTTTTATTTTTTATCTTTAGTACACTTGGGTTAAATATTTATTTTTCTTTTCTCTTTGTTTGACTAATTTATACATATATTTTCACTCTCCTTAGTATTTAATATATTATAAATATCACTAAAAGCAGAATTTTTAGCATTACAGATTGTTTTGTTAAACTTCCTATGGGTTATTTTATGTTTTTTTCAGTTCTCTAAGTTTTTATATTTAAACCAATTTTCATAACATTACATTTTATATTTTATGTTTTCTTGCATATTATTATTTCACCACCAACTATTTTTATTTTTAAAAAAATTTTCTTTTGATTCTCCAAATAGATCTTTCGTAACTTGTTTAATAGTGTTTGTTACTTTATCCCACATAAAATTTATTTCTTCATGAATATCCTAAATCTTGAAATATTGAATTTTACTTATAAAAATAATTATTTTTGTCTTTCAGGTGCCCTAGTCTAATTTTTGCAATAATGATTCATAGTATTTTTTATTTTACAACTCTTCATCTTAAAATCTAGAATTAATAATCGATGTTGAGTACTTCAATTCTTACTTGGAATGACTTTACAATATTTACATTATCGATGATCTCTTCTTCTCATAAGAAAATAATCAATTTGTGTTTTATTAGATCCATTCTTATAAGTAATAATATGCTCATCTCTTTTCTTAAATAAAGTATGAGCAATAACAAAATCATATGCTAAAGCAAAATCAAATATGACATGAGCAATAACAAAATCATATGCTAAAGCAAAATCGAATATAACTTTTAACTTTTTCTTTAATCATACCAAAACCGTAGCCACCATGAATATTTCTAAAATCTTCAACCACTCTACCGACATGTCCGTTTAAATTTCTTACATTGAAAATTCTTTCTTTAAGAGATATCATTTGTATTAAGTCTTCTAGGTCATTGTAGAATTTATATTTAAAATCTATATCTAAACCTACATGAGAAACGTAAGCATTTATGATATTAAAAATCTTGTTATCAACAATAATTTGAAGGGCTATAATTCTACCAAATTCTATCTCCAACTCTATTAATTTTTGCAACATTATCTTTCAAACTTTTATTTATAATTACACCCACACTGTTTTTAGTGCGACTCTTTCTATTGTGCTCATTCCACTATTTTTTTTGGTCACTGGCGGCTTCATCGATAATTTGTTGCGCCTTGATGTGATGGAGGAGATCAAGATAGGAGTAAACTTTTTCACTTATCATTGCAAAATGGAGGTTAAGTAGGAGTCCTCTGGGAAAAACCTCTCGCAACAACTTGGGATCAACTCCTTTGAAATTTGACGGGTGATGGTGGAAACCACTAAAATTATTTTTTGAGGGACTCTCCCTTATTTTAGTGAAGGCCAAAGATGTGGAAGTTTTTACTGATTTTCTTATTCCTGATGAATAGATCAGCCAGAAGGCATGTCAACTCAACATAGTTTTGTAATCCCACACAAAAATGGGTGAGACTTTGTTGTACTTGAACTTTGTGAGTGATTGGGAATGCCTAGAATTTAGATACGACGCCTCTAGTCCGACTAGGTGTTTCTTGAGTGATGAGAATTGGAATAAGAGCTGCTGTAGTGTTGCAGGTGTTGTACTTGTTCTCCATTGGGCGAGAGGGGGGCTGTTTGCATTCACAAATCAACAAAGGGCAGAATGTTTGTTCTCCAAATTCTTACTTGTTGGAATATCATAATAGTAGATAGAGTTTAATGTTCTAACTTTGAAAGAAGTTCTCATACATATTAAAAAGTATAATCTAATGCATTGGCAATATAAACTTTTTCTTAGGGAAATCTAGAAAGGGAAAAGTATGGGTCCTAATTCAGTTGATAGATCCCATTGGTTTCAATTATGGACTATAGAAAGTCGCCTATCATTGAATTTGGACTTGTCAATACAATATAAATGACATAAGCTATGTTTGTTTCCTGCAATGGTGGTGAAGGGTTGGTATTGGTGTTCATGGTGCTGCATATCAGGTAGAACATTTCCATGGTCATTTGATAATTAGCGGCGATGGAGATGATCTTCCTAGAAAGAAGGGTTCAGACAAGCTTGAGGTAGAAAAGGGGGTTGATTAAGAGAAAAAAAGAGACAAATCTATTGCACATCAATTGGTGTTTAGAGCCTTGAAATTATATATGTCTATTGGCAGTTGCTTAATAATGGCCTTTTTCGAGATGCCCTTGGACAATGAGCACAATATATTGTTTTGAAGCTCTTGATGAACCAGGTCTAATTGAATTGATTGATCAAAATTATGGCGATTAAATAGATCATAATAATTTAAAGAATGTTCATAGATGAAATTTAGGATCCTTAGAAAAGGGTGATGATAGGTTGTTAATTTGTGTCAAATTGTTTGTATCAAGGGTAATCCCATGTTACAAGTAACTAATGGATTATAGCTCTGTAGAAGCCTCAATAATCTTTATAAGAAGTTATTGTTTAATTTTAGGTCTAATGGAAAATTGATAATAAGCTTTTTTTTTGCGTTAAAATGTTCATTTTGTGAATGCATTCCAATGTTGCAAACGATTTATGAATTTTATATTTGTAAAAGATGAAGAGCATATAGAAGTTTAGATCTAAGAGGTCAAAGTGCATGAACTTCAATAACTTTTGATATGATATGATGTTGAAGGAGTGTTTCTCGAAGTGTTATCGGAGGTTAAGAGATCGAGCAAAATGGTGGGCAATCCTTGTCTTCCCATTGGTTGCTTGATTTACATGACCATAGACGAAGAAGGGACTCATTTGAGCCTATGAACAAGTTTGGGGTGGTCTGGTTTGGGCCATTCTAGTTTACAAGGGGCAAAATATGCATGAAATCAAATGTTTTTGTGCCACTGGAATTGTCGCGACAAGACAATCGTTTACCCTACAAAGTTGTAGAATTTGAGGTCAGCTTATCCATTCAAATAATTTTTAAAGTTTGTTGCCAGGACCATAAATACTTAGAATCCAATGATTTTTTTTTCATTGGAATTGTTGCAGTGACAGTCATTTTGACTATAAATTTATAAAATTTGGAGTTAGTTTATTCCTTCATATAATTTTTAAAATCAATCTGTCCGTTTATGTGCTTTGAGATTTTTGATTTTGGATTGTATATCATGCTTGCTTTGATAAAATTTGTGTGTTCCAACATGATCAAACTCTTTACATAGAGATTAGAATCAATATTTTATATATAGCATATTAAGATGCATAAAAGTTCGATAGATTTTTGTGTGGACTAGTTTCCTTTATGTATTTCAAAGTCACCTAAAAAAAGTAATCATTGATTCCTTGGAATATTGAGAAGATTTTTGGATGTACATTTTTGTTTAGAATTAGTTCAATGCCTGAGGTTATTGATTCCAAGAATCCTGATAGGTTTCACTTAAGAAATAGTAATTTTGTACTATGAACATGAAGATGATTAAGAACATTGTGTTGATGAAAAAGAACATGAGATGGTGTCGTGGAAATTTTTAATGTTTAAATGAGCATTGATGCCTAAGGTTATTGATGTTAAGAATTGTGTTTTTTGTCATTTAAGAAAAGATTATTTCATGCTATGAAGCATGAACAACATTAGAAACTTAGTGTTGATCCAAATATGAGATGACACTGAGAATTAGAAAGTTTGTTAAACTATAATAGGGATATGCTGAATTATGTATGTGCGTGGGGATATCTCCCATGACCCTATATGTATGCAGACAACTACTTTGAATTTAAACTTGATATATGACCTGGCTTGTTCAAACCATGTATATATA